AACGCGTATCTTAGGGGAAGATAAACGGTGAAACACGTAACGCGTATCTTAGGGGAAGATAAACGGTGAAACGCCTATCGCCTATCTTAGGGGAAGATAAACGGTGAAACGCGTATCTTAGGGGAGGATAAACGGTGAAACGCGTATCTTAGGGGAAGATAAACGGTGAAACGCGTATCTTAGGGGAAGATAAACGGTGAAACGCGTAACGCGTATCTTAGGGGAAGATAAACGGTGAAACGCGTAACGCGTATCTTAGGGGAAGATAAACGGTGAAACGCGTAACGCGTATCTTAGGGGAAGATAAACGGTGAAACACGTAACGCGTATCTTAGGGGAAGATAAACGGTGAAACGCGTAACGCGTATCTTAGGGGAAGATAAACGGTGAAACGCGTAACGCGTATCTTAGGGGAAGATAAACGGTGAAACGCGTATCTTAGGGGAAGATAAACGGTGAAACGCGTATCTTAGGGGAAGATAAACGGTGAAACGCGTATCTTAGGGGAAGATAAACGGTGAAACGCGTATCTTAGGTGAAGATAAACGGTGAAACGCGTATCTTAGGTGTACACCCTTATAAAGGGTGGTTTGTTCTCCTCTCCAACAATGTGAGATATCACAATCCATCCCCTTCGTGGCCAGCGTCCTTGCTGGCACTCTTTCCTTCCTCCAATCTATGTGGGATTGCCCTCAAATCCATCTCTTTGGAGCCAGCGTCCTGATTAGCACACAAATATTGTCCTCTTTAAGGATTGGTTGCCATTGGGTTATTTAATTTATTATAATTATCATTATTGTTTTGTGCTTGGAACTCTTCATTTAGATCAAAGTGAGTTGCAATCCTAACATTAGGATCCTAACCGTCTGATGGGAGACTAGATTAATGAGTTAACTGCAAATAAATTTTTGTTCTTGAAGTTAAGTTTTGACCTAAGGACATTTAATTAAATTATTTATTTCTAGCAAAAAAGTATCTATTTAAAGAGAATTTTAAACGTGTAAAGAAACAAAATTATATATTTTTATAGGTATATATTTAAAGAGAATTATTCGATAAATCTTATTTTTAATTTATACAATTAATTTATATTAAATTGAAATAATAATAAAATATACTGAATAATTTTTTTAAAAAATAAACCAATTTCCGACTAATTTAAGATTTAATAAATTATGGAAACAAAACTTAAAGATTGTCAGATTAAAAAAAGTATTTTAAAAAACCAGAAAAAAAAAATAATAATAATTTAAAATTCTAGAAAATTGCAGAATTTCAGTAATCTCCTCCGTCTTCACTTCCATTTCTAGAGAGAGAACCAGATCTAGAGAGAGAGAGGGGAAATGGAGGGAGAAGTCATTAACTTCATCATGGTCTGGTTAATCGTCTGTATGTCTCTCTGTTACTGCCATACCGCCGGAAAAATACTCCCTCCCGGCGCCGGCCGGTTCCTCGCCATCGCTCCTGTCGTCGTTCTCTTCTTCCTCCTCCCTCTGCAGCTAACTTCAGTCCACCTCGGCGGCTCTACCGCCTTCTTCATCGCTTGGCTCGCAAACTTCAAGCTCCTTCTCTTCACCGCCGGCAATGGCCCTCTCTCCGCCACTCCGCCGCTCCCTCTCCGCCGATTTCTCGCTCTCTCTTGCTTGCCGATCAAGATCCTCCAAAACCCCTCGGAGAAACAGAGCCCTAAAAATCACCACGAAACCCTAAATCAAGAACCCAAATCGTTCCTCAACTACTGGATTAAAGCCCTAATCGTTGCATTAATGGTGAAATTGTACGATTACTCGGAGTTTATTCACCCGAAAGTAATCTTGTTCATTTATAGCTGGCACGTGTACTTTTTTCTTGAGATTATTTTAGCGATCACGCAATTTTTCGGACGGACTCTGCTCGGGATCGAACTCGAGCCGCAATTTCACGATCCGTACTTCTCGACTTCGCTTCAGGATTTTTGGGGGAGGCGGTGGAATCTGATGGCGACGAACATTCTTCAGCCGACGATTTACAAACCGACGGTCAAGATTGCCGCTAAGGTCGTCGGACGGAAGTGGGCGCCATTGCCGGGAGTGATGGCGACGTTTTTGGTGTCGGCGATTATGCACGAATTGATATTTTATTATTTGGGCCGAATGAAGCCCAACTGGGAGCTGACGTGGTTCTTTGTTATCCATGGATTTGCTTTGACGGTGGAGATTCTAGTGAAGAAGGTGTTGCCCGAGAAGCGGCGGCTACCGGCGGCGGTATCGGTGCCGGTGACGCTGGTTTTCATCTTCTCCACTGCGATTTGGTTGTTTTTCCCGCAGTTCATGAGGTTGAAGATTGACGTGAAGGCGTTTGAAGAGTACGCGGCGTTGGTCAGTTTTATAAAGAAACTCGCTTTCCCATTGGTCAGTTGAGTTTTTTCTTTTTCTTTTTCTTTTTTTTTAATCATTTAAAATTAAGGTTATGCAAGTCCATCATGATCGATCAATAACCTATAAGATCTTTATAGGATCTTTAACGTCTTTTTCGAGTAGCATTAACATGATCCAAGTAAGTATCATATATAATTAGTTTATATAAGACCGAATTATTAAATATTTTACTTTTTTATAAATTTATTAATCGAGAATATTAATATTTCATAAAAAGATCGTGCATTCGAGTTTGTTATGACGGTGGTTACAATAACTTTTGTAGCTGATTTAATATGATGATATTTTTTATAATTTATCAAAATTTAATATAATTCACACGTTTTAAATTTTATAAAATTAAGAATTCATACGCGTCTATATTTAAATTCATTCCGTATATATATTATATCAATTAAAAATGATTAAATCATTAAAGGAAAAGTATAAAATATTGGTAGCACATTTTCGAGGGTATTATTATTATATATATATATTATAAAAATAAGTAATTGGAAGCAATTTTACGCAAATAAAAGAAAGTCAAAGGATCCATGGACAACTTGAACTCCAATAAGTTTTAATTAATTATTTTAAGATCGCGTATAAATCAAGTATATTATAAAAATATATTTTATTACAATATTCGTATTATGTAACAAATATATTTTTTAAATTAACTTAAGAGTTATGTTATAATTTTTTTGATTGGTTGGTGGGATTATGTGAACATAATAATTTTATTTAATTTATGTGATTTAAGCTGATTTAAAAATTAGAATGATATTAAAAAAATATAAGGAGATTTCACACACCTCAATCTCATAAACCAATTAATATTAGTTTTTTATTGAAATAAAATTATTAAGGTATATAAATTAATATTAAAACTGTGAAAATATTTGATACGTAAAATATACATTTGATTGTAAATGCTCGTGAGAATAAATGATTGGATTTGCGTTGACCAAGGTCAAGGTCGATAATTCATCTTTTTTGTCAAATAGGACATGCCCAATGCATGTCGTGACTTAGGGAACTCGGGGGTTAACTCTACTCAATTTCTAAACCTAAATTGAAGTGCCCTAGGTTAATTTTCCGTATAATTACATCTTTGTGACTCTATTGGAAGTGTTGTTTTGCACTTTTCACTCTCCCACTTGAGCAAGTACTGCATTGTTTTTCGAGAACCGCTCTTTTCCTTAACTAGAAACGACTTATGGTACCCATCATTTGTATGAATCGAGAGAAGCCAATCCCCTCCCTATTCTTTCTCGTTGTGTTCTTCCCTTCCTTTAGACAGGCCACAACTAGAGCATACCGTCTAAGACCCGTCCCGTCCAACAACTACTGATTATTTGTCAACAAGTAGGAGGCAACTAGCAATGCTAGCTTCTGAAAGATTATATGATATGAATAAAGATTACGCTCTAAGACCCGTTTTTCACATGATTGAGTTTCATTACATTAATGAACTCAGCCGAAAATACTTGCACCCCTTTATCAAAGCTTCCCTTTTGAATTATAATAAGGTCGTAATAGGATTCCGAACCTTTTTATACACGGTCTCGTGGGATTACTCCAATCTCTATTACATTATAAAAGCTTCTAATCTAACTTAAACATCAAAGTCCATACGACAAAATTACTATGTGGTTTAGCGTTGACCTGATTACAAAATCAACAACTAAGCTCGATCTTGATTCGATATTCATATCTTCTTCATTTCGTATAATATATTTTTTTTGGGACAGCTTCATTGATCCCACTAAACCCAATTTTTATTTCCTACGAAATCCTTTAAAATCGAAAACAAACAAGAAGAAGAACAAGAAACAAAGCAACCTCGTACCTTTCACCTCCATTTTTGAGCTCTGTTCCGCCATTAATGGCTGCCGAGATTCATGCATTCATTCAAACTCTGTTCCTGATTGCCTCTTCTCTCTGCCTCTGTTTCTCAATTAGAAACTCAATCCCAAATGGGTTCCTCAAATTCCTCTTTGTTCTTCCCTTCTTCTTCCTCTTCCTCTACATTCCTCTCCAATTCCAAACCATCCATCTCCGCGGCACCCTCGGCTTCTTCATCGGCTGGCTCGGCAGCTTCAAGCTCCTCCTCTTTGCCTTCGGCAAAGGCCCTCTCTGTTTTGCCGCCACCTCCTCCTCCCTCCGCCGCTTCCTCGCCGTCGCCTGCCTCCCAATCGACATCCCCGAACACAAATCTCCGCCCAACCGCTCCGATCCCGATCCGCTTCTCCCTCTGAGCTTCGCCGCAAAATTAGGGTTCCTAATCCTCACATTCGCCGCGATCTATTTCAAAAATCGATTCTACCCAAATGTGGTTCTAATTTTCTTCTGCCTCCTAATTTACCTCCTCCTCGAAATTCTCATCGGCGGAGCCACCGCCCTGGCGGAGGCGGTGCTCGGAGTCGAGTTATTGCCCTTTTTCGATGAGCCCTATCTCTCTGATTCGTTACAGGACTTTTGGGGGCGACGATGGAATCTAGTTTCCTCCAGAATCCTCCGCCCCGCGGTTTTCGATCCGTGCCGGAAACTCGCCGGCACTGTCGTCGGGAAGAAACCGGCGGCGATTATAGCGGTTATGGCGACATTTGCTGTCTCCGGTGTTATGCACGAACTGATCTACTTCTACATGGGAAGACTGACGCCGACTTGGGAGGTGAGTTGGTTCTTTCTGATACATGGAGTTTGTCTGGCGGCGGAGATGGCGGTGAAGTCAGCGGTGGGCGGGAGGTTCCGGCCGCCGCGGGTTGTATCTGGGGTGTTAACGATCGGGTTCGTGATGGCGACGAGTTTTTGGCTCTTTTTCCCGCAGCTTTTGAGGTTTAAAGCGGATGTCAGAATGCTTGAAGAGTACGCGGCTTTGGGCGCGTTTGTGAAGAGTGTGACGGCCGAGTTAATCGGACCGTTGTTCATTTCATTTCAAGTCAAATAAATCTTTCATTTTACCAACCTAATTAAATTACAATTTGGGATCTAAAATCTTTTAAATTTATGTATAATTCCTTTTTTTTTTTTAATTTAATTGTATTTTAAATTTTAAAAAATAATGGATAAGTTTCTTTAATTCTTTCATGTCTCATTCTTATAAATTATAATACTTTGTAATATAATATTTATACTATATAAAAGAATATTAATAGAATCAATTTGTATTCTCGTGATTTATATATATATATATATATATATATATATATATATATATATAAAAGAATATTAATGAAATCCATTTGTATCATCGTGATTCACGAGGAATAGGTTAGATTGTCATTATTCAACTTTTTTAAAGGAAGAGATTTAAAAGGGTAACCTTTTTTGCTTTTCGAGAATTTTAGTATTTTATTTATAAAATTATATTAGGTTTATTATTTATTTATTTATTTATATATGTACCATGACCTTCCAACATAATACTATTCACTTTAAATATAGGTGTTCCTGTTTTGTTTTCGAATTTTTTTAAAAAATTCGATAATATCTTTATTTATATAAATATGATATTTTCTTTAATTAGCCTCCACGTGGGTGGAAGAGTGGGAAAGAAATATTTCTTAATAAAGGTTTAGAAACCTTTCTTTAGTAGCACGTTTTAAAATCGTGAGACTGACGGTGATATGTAACATGTCAAAACAGACAATACCTGCAAGTGGTGGGCTTCATCACAATGACAACACAACACGACTCCACTGCTCCAACGAGGATGAGGACGAGGACGACAGATTTTCGTTCGGGAACAAACAAACTCATAAAATATTAAAAAAAAAAAAAATCACACACATATATAACATAGGAAAGGAAGGTTCACCATATGATAGTGTGACGATGCTTCATCATATGGTCTGTTATTTATTTTAAAGACTTATTGATTATTAAAATTGAAAGTTTGGGAGATGGCGTTAAAGTCAGCGGTGGGCGGGAAGTTCCGGGCGCCGCCGGTTGTACCGGCGTCGTTAATGATTGGGTTCGTGATGGCGACGAGTTTTTTGGCTGTTTTTCCCGCAGCTTTTGAGGTTTAAATCGGACGTTAGTATGTTTGTAGGGTACGCGGCTTTGAGCGCGTGTGTAAAGAGTATGATCGCCGAGTGGATCATGCGTTGCTCATTTAATTTCGTTTTTATTGTAAGCGGTTAATTTACAAATTTGGTTATAAACAGTAAATTTAAGTTTAATTTTTTTTATTTGATAATTATAAAACTTAAAAAATGGCAATTATTTATTTATTTTTTACTTATATTTAAAAATATATATTTGGTTCCAATTCATAACATTTTATTTATTTTTTAGTTGCTTTATACTAAATTAATAAAAATATCTTTAAAATTTCTACTTTATCTAAAAAATACTCTTGAATTAAAAATAAAAAAAAAAACTTAAAAACACAATTATCGTTAGTTTTGGATGAAAACGAGTAATAGTTTATTTCAAAAATATCTTTAAACTTCTAATACTATTTCAAAAATACCCTTAAAACTTTTAAATGTTACATTAATACCCTTAAACATTTTTTAAACAATTCAAATATCATTAATCCTATATTTAAAAAATACCTATACAATTTTAAAAGAAACATTAATATATTTTAACTTTTTAAAAAAATTCAAGAAAAAAAAATCTTACTATTAATGTATGAATGAAAACCATTTATCGATGTCTTATATATTACCTACAAACGTTTTAATGTCACTTTAAAAAGTGTCCGAGTACTTTTGAGATGATAAATGTATTTTCTATTTTTTAAGTTTTTAAAAAAGTTCAAAGATATTATGACGAAACTTTTGAAAACTCTAAGGTATTCTACTTTTGAAAGTTCAAAGGATATTTTTGAAACAGAGTAGTATCGATTTCCAACCAAAATTAACGGTAATAGCATTTTTGAACTTTTTTGAAGAAACTTATGAAGATTTAAAAATGTTTTATTTTATGAAAAGTAAAGTTTAAGGAGATTTTAATTAATTTAGCATTTTATCTAATAAACAACTTTTGGTAATAAATTGATAAATATTGTAAAAGAATCAGGAGGGATCGAGTTCCCAATCAAACTCAAATTGAGTGCAATCAAACAGACCTTTCACTTTTCCCAGAGCTCTCTGCCTTTGCTTCAGCAACCTTAATGTCACATCATCTACTTCTTCCTTTCTCATATGGCACATTTTCCTGCAAATTTCTTTCCATTTTGATTCAAACTCACAAGCTGCATACCAAAGTACACGAAAACAGCATCAGTAAAGGTGTGGGAATGATTTTATCCAACATTTCTCGGTTCGAAAGCTCTAGAGAAATTTGATTATCGGGTTGGTGATCCAAATAGAACTGCAAGACATGTTTAGAATGATGTGTTTTGAGTCAAACCAATCATATTTTTAAGCTCTTAGAAAGCCGGTCAAAACAGGCTCTTGAGATATGAACTTGAAGAATGTTCATAGCAACAAGTCGAGACGCCTACGCGTGGGGCCATTACTGACGCCCCTTGCCTTGATACTACTTCAACAAGGGAGCTGCCCCTTGCCTTGGCCTTAACGACCCACCTTCTTTCCTTTATCAGTTTGATAAATAAAAAAAAATAAAAATAAAAAAACTAAAAAACAAGGGGGCTTTCAAGCTGCTATTTAAATCAGAAATGCTATAAGTTGCAGCTTGTTTCATTTCCAGGGGAAAAAATCAAATCAAAATACACTAAAGATGGAAGGCCCCATTTGGAAGGTATGAGTCCTAACATGCATATAATTTGGGAGCGGGAGATTACCACACTAGCACAACTTATGCACACCTCAGCTATTCTCACACGACAACAATCTCGCCCTACGACATTTGGATGCTAGGTAACTTGTACAATATTCTACATGGATCGGCACCATAATTTGAACTCATTCTCTTCAAGTTCTTCATTTATTTACATGGTCTTTGGTCACAACTAAATCAATCCATGATGATTAAAATGCATCTTATAATAAATATCAGCGTGGAGCAATGAATAAAGATTGTTTCTCACGGAAATAGTATTCACAATACGAGAAAGTCTGAAATACATCTGACCATTGACATCTAATGTAACAGCTCAAGTCAACTACTAGCAAATATTGTCCACTTTGTCCTGTTACATATCGTCGTAAGCCTCATAGTTTTAAAAACGCGTTTGCTAGGGAGAATTTTTCACACCCTTATAAAGAATGTTTCGTTCCCCTCTCCAACCGATGTGAGATCTCACAATCCACCCCCCTTGGGGGTCAGCGTCCTCGCTGGCACACCGCTCGATGTCTGGCTCTGATACCATTAGATGCCCGAGTTGGTCAAAGGCGTCAGGTTAAGGTTCTGGTCCGAAAAGAAAAGTTCAAAGAGAACAATATCTGCTAGAAGTGCTAGCGGTGGCTTGGACTGTTACATCTAACTTAGGAAGATCACTACCAGAACAAAGAAACTAGGAAATATCTCACCTGTTCAAGAGCCCTAAGCAACATAATGTCTAGAATGACTACAATCACAAATAGGCAGGCAATGCCCTAGAAATTCTATTTTAAATGGATACCTTGACTTTGGTCTTTAAAACCATGAATTTTGCACGCACAAATCCAGGGTCGCCCCGCTCGAGTTGCCTTTGCACCACCTTTTATTTCACCATTATGTTGTTTTAAACTGTACAAGAATACAACTTCGTGACATTAGGAAATATTTGAATACCGCTTATGCGTAAAGCATATCTCACAACAGTGTGGGCATGATCCCAAAACACTCCCTATCTTACAAGCTCAAAAGAAAATCAATACCTCGACTGATTAATCAAGCAGTTCAGCACCTAAACCCAAGTTCTTTTTCAAAGACCAACCTCGTCTTTATGCACCAAATTGACTCAATACAAAGTTATATCCATAACAAGTGACACAATTTGAGCATATTTTTCAAAGAATTGCACTTATTCACCTAGTAACGGTTGTAAATTGACATAAAGAATCGGATTCATGAACATTTTTGGTACATTCCCTTCTCCTATTCCCTTCTCCTATGCATACACCTACTGGAATTCATATGGTTCATCTCTCATATTGATACATGAATCATCTTGTATGCTTATATAAATGATCTTCTAGGATGGTTATTGAGATTGAGTGTCATTTTGTATTTACCTAGTGGCATTTGAGAGGAAGTGAGACTTTGTATATACACTTTGATTATTGTGATTGGTGGCAGTCCGTGGATGAATGACGTAAATCTTTGTGTCTCTTTATTTAATTTCTGGTTCATCGGTGTGTGAGTTTGATCGAGTCAGATTATTCAACAATATGAAGCCAAATGTTTAACCTAAAAGCTCGAAATATCAATTTTTAAGGCTAAATCGAACACGACCTAGAAAAAATTTCAACACCAAATCATGGAATCTGGGATTAAAACAAGAAACGTAAGAGAAGAAATTCGACATACCGTCGATCAAAGTCGAGGGTGACTCCTACATAGGTTTTGATGGGGGGATTGGAGGAGATGATGAGATAAACGCACCATTTCTTCGGCTCCGGCTCTGATTTGACGATCAATGTTGGAACCTTAGTTGATGAAGAAGAAGATTTCGAAACTTCTGGGCTTGAAATTGGGAGTTTTTGGCTACGAAATGTCTGAGAGAGCAGCCTCATAGTCTTCGTTCATCGGCGCGGGTTCGAACCTGCACATTTGGTTGACCGTTTTTTGCCCTCGGATTTAATTTGATTTAGTTTTAGGACATAGCAATATTTTAAATGTCTTAATTATGTTTATTTTCATCCAAAAGAAAATATGCACACTCATTATGTTTATATATATATATATATTTTGGACTGACCCGACCAACTTTTCGGGTTACAATTCAACCAAACCCATATCATATTTTTTAAAAAATATTTAAAATAAGGAAAAGCAAAACCAATCTTGATGGCCGGTCCAATCCGAGTATGAACAGATCAAACCGTCTTGAACCGGACCGTAAAAATCCCTTTTTTATTTTATTTTTTTTTTAAAAAGTTTTGCAAATGGAAGTGAAATGGATGAGAATCCTATCTGCCAACGCGAATGCAGAGATTTGGCCTGTTGGGTCATCAAAAACAATCCCTTCTAAGCTAACCCATCTCCTTTTTCTTTCTTCTTCTTCTTCTTCTTCTTCTTCTTCGTCTTCTCAAATGGTTGCTTTATCTTCCCCTTCTGTAAGCCACTCTCCCATGGCTCACCCTTGTAATCTTGCCTCCCTTTCTCTTCCTGGGTTCTCCTCACTTTCCCTTAAACCTCCGGCTTTCACTAATGGCCCCAAGAAACTTCATGGGTTTGGCCTCATAAGAGCCTCTGTTGCTGTGGAGCAGCAGGCAGGGAAGACCAAGGTTGCTCTCCTCAGAATTGGCACCAGAGGAAGGTATAACTTTTTTGTTTTGTGGGTCTTTTTTAGATTTTCTTTTGGTTTATGTTTTTGGATGTGTTCAGTTTCTAATCATGAGTTTGTGGCTGATTTGAGGGATAATGTACGGCATTGAGTTGTTGTTTAAGGGTTTGGATCAGTTCAATTTGTGCATTTTAACTGTGATTAAGTTCAGATGAAGTGTTTATGCTGCTCATGCTATCAATCATGGCAGTGATAGTGTTTTACCTTACAATCTAAATGTTTGGATCCAATCTGGTGCTGTTAGAGTAGAATCAGTTCTTCGTTAGAAGAGTAAGTCTATTGTGAGATCCTACGTCGGTTGTGGAGGAGAACGAAGCATTCTTTATAAGGGTGTGGAAACCTCTCCCTAGCATACGCGTTTTAAAATCTTGAGGGGAAGCCCAGAAGTGAAAGTTCAAAGAGGACAATATATGTTAGTGGTGGGATTGGGCCGTTATAAATGGTATTGTCGCCAGACACCGGGTGATATGTCAGTGGAAGGATGAGCCTCGAAGGAGGGTGGACACGAGGCAGTGTGCCATCAAAGACGTTGGGCCCCAAAGGGGGTGGATTGGGAGATCCCACATCAGTTGAGGAGGACGAAACATTCTCCATAAGAGTGTGGAAACCTCTCCCTAGCAGACACGTTCTAAAAACTTGAGGGGAACCCCAAAGAGGACAATATTTACTAGCGATGGCCTTAGGTTGTTACAAATGGTATCAAAGCCAGACACCGGGCAATGTGCAACCGGAAGGCTTAGCCCCAAAGGAGGGAGGACACGAGGCGGTGTGCTAGCAAGGTCATTGGACTCCGAAGGGGTGTGGATTAGGGGTCCCACGTCGATTTGAGAAGGGAACAAGTGCCAGTGAGGACGTTGGGCCCAAAGGGGGTGGATTGTGAGATCCCACATCGGTTGGGGAGGACGAAACATTCTTTATAAGGGTGTGGAAACCTCTTCTAGCAAACGCGTTTTAAAAACCTTAAGGGGAAGCTTAGAAGGAAAAGTCTAAAGAGAACAATATATACTAGCGGTGGGCTTAGACGGTTACGTCAAGGCTCGTAGTTTTCTTATCTAAACCTGGAACTATGCCTATAAACACAATGTACTTCATTTTCTATATGCTTGTTTGATTGGGTTTACTTTATCTTCTTCTGTGTCAGGACAGCCCATTAGCACTTGCCCAGGCTCATGAGACAAGAGACAAGCTCATGGCTTCCCATCCTGAGCTAGCTGAAGATGGTGCCATTCAGATTGTTGTTATCAAAACCACTGGTGACAAAATACTCTCTCAGCCACTTGCAGACATTGGTGGGAAAGGCTTATTTACAAAAGAGATTGATGATGCACTTATCAATGGTGACATAGACATTGCTGTTCACTCAATGAAAGATGTCCCAACTTACTTACCTGAGAAAACCATCCTCCCGTGTAACCTTCCGAGGGAGGACGTCCGGGACGCATTCATTTCTCTACGTGCAGGTTCACTTGCCGAGCTTCCAGCTGGAAGCGTCGTCGGTACAGCTTCACTGAGAAGAAAGTCTCAGCTACTGAATCGATATCCGTCCCTCGAAGTAAGTATGGTGTGTTATGTAATGGAAAAACATCCAAAAAGTTTATGTTCTACGTTGACATTGTTGTGGTGTATGTTGAATTCTGATTCTTGATGGAACGTTTATGTGTGAGATCCCATGTTGGTTGGAGAGGTGAACGAAACATTTCTTATAAGGGTGTGGAAACCTCTTCCTAGTAGACACGTTTTAAAATCTTGAGAGGAAGCCCTTGAAGGGAAAGCCCAAAGAGGACAGTATCTACTATCTGTAGGCTTAGACTAGTACAAGTGGTATCAGAGTCAGACACTAGACGGTTTGCTAACGAGGACACTAGGCCCCCAAGGGGGGTGGATTGTAAGATCTAAGCATTCTTTATACACTGGAAACCTCTCACTAGCATACGCGTTTTAAAACCGTGAGGTTGATAGCGATACGTAATGGGCCAAAACAGACAATATCTACTAGCATGGTAGTGTTTAATGAGTCTTAAATCTTCAATCTTGTATGTTGGTTCTGATACTCAATCTCGTTTTTTCCATTGTTTGTTGGTGTCATTTGTTAGGTACTCGAAAATTTTCGAGGTAATGTCCAAACAAGGTTGAAAAAACTAAACGAAGGAGTAGTCCAAGCAACACTATTAGCTCTAGCTGGACTTCGACGTTTAAATATGACAGAAAACGTTACTTCGATCCTTTCAATCGATGAAATGCTTCCAGCTGTTGCTCAGGGAGCTATCGGTATCGCCTGTCGAAGCGACGATGACAAAATGGTGCGTTTTCATTGGCTATACAAATCAATATTTGTCCATGAAAGTTCATTGCTATACAAATCAATATTTGCAGGCTGAGTACTTAGCCTCATTAAACCATGAGGAAACAAGACTGGCTGTTGTTTGTGAGAGAGCTTTCCTCGAGACTCTTGATGGATCATGCCGAACCCCGATTGCGGGATATGCGTCGAGGGATGAAGATGGCAATTGTATATTCAAAGGGTTGGTAGCTTCCCCGGACGGAACCCGAGGTACGATCTCAAACGTTCATGTTCGAATGAAATAACTTCTACATTGCTAGAACATTGAATATCTACATCTTTTACAGTTCTTGAAACTTCTCGACGAGGTTCGTACGCCATTGACGATATGATAGCAATGGGGAAGGATGCTGGCAAGGAGCTACTTTCTCGAGCAGGTCCGGGTTTTTTTGATAGCTAGTTAGTTTAAAATTTAGGATAAAAGTGAAGGCTTCATATCCAAATCTTCAAGTGAGTAGGAGTTATGTTCATCCTTTGTTTTGTTAATTGGTTGTGTAAATTAGAATAGAAATCATTTAGACTATCTTGGGTTCCTCAAATAAGTCTATGCAAACTAGCCATTTCTAATCCTCAATCTCTATACAAACATGTGTTACTCTTTAATGGTTGTATTTGATCCGTTGATTGGGTGATCAAACGCTCGGACTTGAACCGAAAGCTACCGAGCCTCTTCATGTTCACTTCTTCATTTGCAAATGATACGTTTGGAATATAAACTCTCTTGTAACAACTCAAGTTCACTGTTAGTAGATATTGTCCTCTTTGGACTTTCCCTTTCAAACTTCCCCGCTAGCAGATATTATCCTCTCGACTTTCCATTTCGGGCTTACTCTCAAGGGTTTAAAACATGTCTACTAGGGAGAGGTTTCACACCCTTATAAGGAATGCTTCACAATTCACCTCCCTTGGAGCCCAGCGTTTTTGTTGGCACACTGTCTGGTGTTTGGCTCTTATATCATTTATAACAGCCCAAGTCCACCCCTAGTCGATATTGTCCTTTTTGGGCTTTCCGTTTCATACTATCCCCTTAAAGTTTTAAAACGCGTATACTAAAAAAAGGTTTCTACACCCTTATAAGGAATGTTTCGTTTCCCTCTTCAACACTGATGTGGGGTCTCACACATATCCTTCCCGATCAAGGGGAAATCCACCCATTTGGAACCATATCCTTAAAGTTTTAAAACGCGTATACTAAAAAAAGGTTTCTACACCCTTATAAGGAATGTTTCGTTTCCCTCTTCAACACTGATGTGGGGTCTCACACATATCCTTCCCGATCAAGGGGAAATCCATTTGGAACCATATCCTTAGTTGGGTGATTGCCGAAATGAGCAAAAGCTAGAGAGTTTCTACGCTCTAGAGCACCACCACCATGCTCAACTCATTAAGACATATTATACTTAAACGAATATTAGCACTCAAACTCTTGGGTTGGGGATTGATTACAGTCCCGTCGTACCTCGTGATCAGATAAGGGTTATGAGCATCAACTCTTGGATATGCAAGAGGAATGTGCCGATAATGAGCAAGGGAGTATATAACGTCGGGGTATGTTGTCACGAAAAATTCCACATCAACATCACCGTTTATAAAAAATACCTTGTCCAGCATCCTTGCGAGGGATTTGAGATGACTTGATACCAAGATTGAAAGGATAAGGATAAAAAGATATAACCACACGTGAGAATATTTGTTAAAATCACCGTAATTAAATGGTGGATAACATTTCTATATTTATAATCATTTACCGAATCAAATAAATCACAGAGAAAATGAAAAGAGCAATAAATGGATACACGATATTAGCCTATGATTAAAGGTCAAATATGATACCTATAATAAATTGTAATGAAGACTAAATATTCTCGACAATACAATATATTAGTCTATAATCAAGGGTCAAATATGATACATACGATATACTATAATGGAATGCTAACATCCTCATCACTCTGCATCAGCCTCATCACTCTCCAAATAGTTGTAGCTGCACGTTCAAAATTTTAGGAGATGGATATTTTTATACATATATATAAATAAAACAATAAATTTTGAAAACATATTCACACTATACTTTTCTTACTAAAAATTAATATTATTAAAAATATATGAACAAAATAGACTAAAATAATAATTAGTATTTATTCACTATTAATGCTGTTATTTTAATTTGTCATTTATTTTTATGAATAAACTTTAAATTTATATTATCTTGGTCAATAAAATTTTAATTTACTTTATTACATAATTAATAAATAATAACACACTTATTTGTTGATATTATTTAATTATATTTAGGCTTATTTAGGTCAGCTTCATATATATATATATATATATATATATATATATATATATATCAATTAGTAAAATTATTGGTTTTTACAGCGTTTGGACCCACACGAGTAGCCATTAATTTAGAAAAGAAATTACCATACAAGGACGGTCACTTCCGCCATTAGAATATTCTCCAAGCTCCCTCGCATGGTGGTTTTCCGTAACCGTATTTTGCCTAAACCTCTGATGAAACCCTACCAAAAGCACCTCCTCCGTGGATGACGACGTCCAGTTCGGCTTTCGATCTCAGGCAACGTCTGAGGTAGAACAGCGCCGCCGTGCAGAGTATGGCGCAGAGTCGTCCCCACAGTACTACAATCGCTACCGCAACAATTACAATTACGAGATCGAACTTCTTGTTTGGGGAATTTGTCGGCGGTTTCCAGCGGTCGGAGGACGGCAGCGATGTAGTTAGGGCGGCGGCGGCGGTAGGGAGATGAGAGATTGATTTCTTCAAACCTTTTTCGGAGTGTAACGACGGGGAAGTTTTTTTCTCCGCCGTGGAATTAGACTGAGTTGACTCGGATTTCGGATTCGACTGAGTTGACTCGGATTTCTTCCGAGTTTTACTCGGCTTTATTGTCTTACAGCCCGAATCCACGATGATTTCGCCTTTAATCAGCGGCGGCGGAGGCGGTGTATTGAACTCCGGCGACAAAGAGAGTTCATCGTGACATGGTACGGCGGCGTCGAGCGGCACAGTTGCAGAGGACTTCTTGAATCGAAAACGAAGCGACGGAGTCCTGCGGTTCGGGGAGGCGATCGGGTGAGCCTTTTGGCGTTGAACGTTGGGGGAAGATCTGAAGCAACGGAAGAGAAAATGGAGTCGGGGCTTGTCGGAAGATTCCGCCATGGGAGAGCAAAAATGGAGCAGAGGAAAAGGAAGAAGGGGCGTTGAAGTGAGTTTTTATTTTAAAGGAATTTGAGTAAACAAGAAGAGTCCATGGAAATAAAATTATTATTATTATTATTATTATTGTTTTTTAATTTGATATTTTGATTAATAAATGATTTTTATGAATTTACAACAATTGCTTGCCTGCCTAGTAATTAATCATTTAATTACTAATAATTATGATTATTTTATTTGCAATGTAACCATATGGGTCGTGTGAAAAATTTGAGGTTATTAGTGTAATCTTAAACCTCGGAAATGATCGTATGCAATAAATAACACAAATGGTTTATAGTATATGGATGAAATTGAGTGTATCTTTGTAACAATATTGATACGACTACTTTGTAATTATCACAATGATTTGATTTAAATTGTTCATGTAAGTGTTGATTTCAAGACTTAACAACTTAATCTCACCTTCACAGAGGGCCTAAGAGAGAGACTTAGTTTATAGTTGGATCATAAATAAATTGTTGATTAAGATTAAGATCTAAACTTTTGATTCAACTGTAATTATAAACCTTTCATGAACGATTGACTTGCGTGTAATGATTACATCTATCGACACAACTTGTCATATAGTGTCTATGAATGCTATCCAAATCAAAATATTTAATTAAATAACTTGTAACTGATTGAACAATGAAAATACTATGAAATTTTATATTTGAGATTTCAACCGAACTCATCCGATAAATATATATTGAATTATTTTATTATATTTAAGTATAATTAAAATAAAATATTCAATTTATAAATATATTAGATAGTGTTGAGTGTTTATGAAGTATAATTGTAATTTAAGTTTTTTTTTTCTTTTAAATGAGAATGGTAGTGGATTTTAATTGGTTGACTTTGAATAAATGATGGGATTGATAATAGAAATGACGTGGAATTTTATGATGGGAAGATAATAATAATAATAATAATAATTAATAAATAAATAATAATGTAACAAAAAATTCCAACAATAATTTCACGTTAACTTAACAACTTTGACATAAAAAAAAATTAATAAATTGAGGATAAATAAAAGTCAACTTATTATGGGGTGAAAGACTTAAACTTAATGTTAATAAATGTCCGTAAATTTAATATTTGAAATAGTAATCACTATTTTATCTACTAAATTATATATAGTTTTCGAATATTTTTAAAAATAGAGTATGATATTATTTTTAAAATAATATGATTTTCAAATTTTAAAAATGTTTGGTTATATAATAATAAAGGAACCGTTGATTTTTTTTAATTTGAAAATTAAATATATTTTTAAAGAAAGCAACTGATTGTATTTTTTTAAAGAATAATTAGAAGAAAAAAAAAACAGTGTTTTCAAAGGCCATTACATACTTATTCTAACATGATTTATATTAAAATATATAATTTTTGCTGCAAAAAATGGTCCTATTAAAATATACAAAAAAAAATAAAAATTGGCCAAATTACCAAATTATAATTAAATATATATATATATTATCATTTATGTAATGTATTTAAAATTAAATAAGTCTTCTTCAATACAAGAATTAATATAATATTAAAAACAATATAATAAAATAGGAATAATAATTCCTCGTAATTTCAACGTTGAATTTCTTACCAAATTAAAAATAAATAATAAATAAAATAGGGAAAAAAAATATTATGGTTGCTTCTTCACCAAGGCTATAATTGGACACCAACTTGTCTTTGCTTCATATATTTTTTTTTTAATTTAAAGTAATAAATCACGTTTTTTTTTCTTAATTATTTATTTATTTTGATAAAATATAAAATTCAAGAGAGACGTTTTTCATGAATTATTTGTTAATATGAATATAACCTAATTTCCAAATTAAGAAAGCGCCAAACGAATTCTCCAAATTAAGTTGTTTCACGGGGACGGAAAATGCAATCTCATACAATTAGGGTTCATAGTGGGACCTATCTTTTCATGTGGGTAGGTTGGATGCATAGTACTTTTTTAGAAACGGTTCACGTACATTTGCATGAACTCACTAAGCGTGCTCGTATACATGACCCTAAGTTTGACTACGGGCTAACGCACGTTTGCGTTGCCATAAAAACCAACGTAAAAGGAGCGTGTATCATATCATGATGTACGTGTTCTTACAAAATATATTGGAGAAGTATCCTATACTCCCAACATACAACATGCATGAGGGTCTTATAATTTTAAATCATAGTAGATGGTTATGATGCACATCATACTTCTATTCTTTTCGGGACATAACTCTTATAAGTTTATGGTTCTATCTTCGTAACAAAAAGAAATATATTTAAATCCATATTAATCTCTGGGACGGGAATTCACCGGAGGAGATGACGGTGAGGTTGCCGGAGCTTAACTTGGAAATGGTACACATCAGCTGAAAAAATGGGCGTGTGGTGTTTGCTTTTGTCTGCAAATTTATTTTCGTAGCATATGTAACGACCTATTTTTCAACTATAATAAAGTCGTTACTGTTTGGTCTTAGTGCGTCGCCTCCGTCATCCGTATAGGGGTGTCTTGCCTTTACCTGAAATGTAAGAGTAACACATGACTTGAGTATTTTAAGAAATACTCAGTAAGTGATTCACTATTTGGGTCGTGAACTGTAAACACATGCAACATGATGAGACTTATCATTTAAAACATCATTTCATTCTCTTATGCAGCTTTCCAGTCCAGGCTAAATTGGATGTATATTACTTCTCTACACACGTGAGAACGTGGACTCACCAGGCGGGCTCACACACCCCTTGAGACTGTTGGTCAAGCTAGCACTTGCTAACAGGCTGTTACCGAACACCTAGAGGGAATAACAGTTGTCGTAACATCATGGCAAATATGATGAACATAATCAGTCTCATACTGTATGCGTTCGTACTCATCATAATGAACAAGTATTTTGATGCATGTGACCAGACAGTTATGTATGAGGTTCCCATACTTTCCATCATGACATGAAAAATAAGACAAGACAACCTCCATTCTTTCCTAACATATTAAATCTGGTAATTATGCGTACATAATTCTTATACATCATTTCATACATAACATTGTGATATGAACCAATGTATCAATCATGCAATATAAACTTCAAGAAAGATGCGAAGAAAATGTTGTTCCAATTATCACAAGATGTTGCAATTCATGATTATATGTTTAGAATCATTCAAGCTTGACATAATCAATCTTGTTTGTCGAGTTATTTGAATCTAAAACAAGTGTTTTTGCCTTAAGATATTTAATTAACAAGGTAATCTGAATTTCACTTTCCCTCGTAATGATTTCTTATCATTAAGGCTAAGTGCTCCTACCTTTCCTTATTCAAAAGCTAAGTTTTTTTTACAGTTCTATATAGTTTAGATTGTATGTTTAGAATCATGGCATTTCGTTTATCCCATAGCACAATTTGACGTATCATATAACGTAACATAACATAATATCACATATCAAAACATATCACACATATGACACGTGCAAGGGCCACTACGCACGTGTCATCATACATGAAACAATTCTTCCAACCAAACCGATAGTTGAGCCACTTACCTAATTAGCTTAAGTTGATGTCACTAATTTATCCTTAATGAAAGTTCGCTTATGTTCTTTGACATCCAAGTCAACCCATGTGAGCCCATACATCAATTTCAAGTTTAAAATTCTGCAAGACTATTTTTTAAAATTTTACGATGGTCCATGTGTTAGATTTTTGTGAACATTAGAGTCTTTGCATGAGTAGACTCTTGGAATATATATATATATCATCTATAATTCTTATTCTGTAAAATTAGTTGTATTTGATTTTTTCATTGTTTCTAAGGTGGGTTAGGCAGTAAATCTTAAATTAAAAAAATATTCCAATATTATTTAGTTGTTTGAATCACTTAACCCAAATATTATTTATGACTCGACCAAAAAAAAAAAAAAGTTTTGGAGAATCGACTTACTGTGTTGATCTCTTCTTAAGACAATCGTTCCTTCGCCAATCAGACATGTTTAAAAGAACGGATAAAAAAAAAATTCTACGGAGTTTTTTGAATAATCTATGTGAGGTAAATGAGAATCTCAAAGAGAGTTTTACGTGACACGATGAGAGTTGGTTAGGAGGAGAGGAAGAGTGAATTTGGAAGATTGAGAGTGGGCGTGGAAGATAACCTAATTTCGTTTGCCCTAATATCAATTCTTTAGCTAAGTCTATAAGTTTCCTTTTACACTTGCTCTCGTTGAAGAACGTTTTTTTTTTTTTTTGCTAAATTAATAAAAATACTTTTAAATTTTGGAGTTTGTTTTTAAAATACATTTACAGTAAACCGTTACTGACTAATTTATTTTAAAAATACTCTTGAACTTTAAAACATAAACGTGTAAGAAGAGATGTCATACAAAATGTTAAAAAAATTTAAAGGTTAAAAAAAATAAAAAAATTGTCCGACCTACGTTAGGAAGAAGAGATGTAGCCATTAATATTTTGACTCCCTCATCCTCACTCTCACGGCACCTATCACTTCACTTCAATTTTTTTTTTAAATTTAATAAATAAATATTAATATATATTGGTCGTCATCGCGGGTTAGAAATCACGAATCTCCATATGGTATGATATTGTTCACTTTGAACATAAACTGTCGTAACTTTGCTTTTGGTTTCTCCAAAATGTCTCGTACTAATAGAGATACTATTTTTTACTTATAAACTCATGATCATCCCCTTACGTAGCTAACATGGGACTCTCTTCCAACAATCATCAACGTTGCGGGCCATGCATGATGTACAAAGAGTAAAGAAGAAAAAAGCATATTGGTATGCGGTCAGGTCGTCACTAAAATTGAGTATGTCTTGGACCAAGAAACCCATGTGATTAATTATTGGACTCAAACACACACACCACTTAGGCATAGTCCGAGTTTGATCACTATTATTTTTATTCGTCCATTTGGTTTAATCAAAATTTACATTATGCCCCACCCACTTCATCATTAGCATATCGACATGTTATACGATTTATAATGGGGTAGGTAAT